AGGAACAGTAAGCCTCACTCAGTTAACGAGAGGTAGACTTGTGATCCACCCCATGAATGAGGGCTCTGGGGAGGGGACAGGCTGCCTTTGCTGCTTTCAGATCCCAGGGAGTCAAGACCTCTCTCCCCTATTTGGTTTGGAACTGCTTTTGTGGTCTTCTGGGGAGAAGCCTGCTAGAAAGAAACAACCTACTTGGGTTGAGGTTGGCTGTTCCCGCTGTTTGCTAAATTGCCTCTCACCTATAAAGTAAGGCTTTAATTATAGTTTTCCCAGAATTCATTTTAGTAATGGCCACTAATAATGGTTCACTCAGGGAAACCTGAACCAAACTGTGTTAAACCACATTAATTCAGTTCCATTAACTGAAAGCTAATTTACCAGAATACATATTTTCTACTCTCCACATTGACAATGAGGAACATAGAAGATACACGTGAACTGAGCTTCTACAGGTGTCAGACCCTTTGCAAGGCACTGGGACCACAGCAGAGGACAGACACTCTAGGACAGTGGTTCTCAACCTTGGCTGCACATTAGAATCACCTGGGAATCTTTTTAAAATCCTGATTTCTGGGCCTCATCCTCCGGAAATTCTGTTTCATTGTTACTAATGTTGTGGCCTCACCCCATAACAAAGAAACAGAATTTCCAGAGGATGAGGCCCAGAAATCAGGATTTTAAAAAGATTCCCAGGTGATTCTAATGTGCAGCCAAGGTTGAGAACCACTGCTCTAGGATGTGATAGTCTTCCTTAATGGAAACCTGCTGTTTAATTCCAGTCAACTAACAGGGGCTCTAAAGACTTGCCTTTAAGCCAGACAATAAATCTTTTCATTGTTCTTTTAGGGTTATTTCCTTTGGCCCAATTTCATGGGGCTTATGTTTCAAAAGCCTCTATGGACTTCCTCTTTGGAACTTGCTTGAAAATAGAGATGTTTTGCCAGCTGCTCAAAGTTCCCAGTGCAATAGCTGTAGCACTATTTGGTGATGAATGCGCTGGCTCTCCATTTAAATCATAAACTGGTTTGGCTCAGTGGATAGAGCGTTGGCCTGAGGACTGAAGGGTCCCAGGTTCAATTCTGATCAAGGGCACATGCCCGGGTTGCGGGCTCAATCCCCAGTGGGGGAGGGGGGGTGCAGGAGGCCGCCAATCAATGATTCTCTCTCATTGATGTTTCTATCTCTTCCTCTCCCTTCCTCTCTGAAATCAATAAAAAATATTTTTTAAAAATCATAAACTACATTGCTGAGTGGGGAGAAGCCCTCTCAATATTTTATATTCCCTCCCTGATTCAAACAAACCAAATGTAAAGGCATTTATGAGACAACTGGGGTATTTTGAACACGGACTAGGAATTTTATGTTAATGATTTGTTCATTTTGTAGGTATGTTAATAGTGACATTGTGGTTATGATGTTTCTTTTTTAAAGAGTCATTATCTCTTCAAGATACATGCTAATGTATTTGCAGATGAAATAATGTGGGTTTTGTTTTATAATAATTCAGCAGGTTTGGGATAATGAAACAGGATTGGCCCTGTGTTGACAGTTGTTTGGGGGCCAGGTTGTGGGTACCTGGGGCTGCACTGTGCTATCCTCCCTCTTCTTTTGTGCCTGTTTGAAAGTTTCTATGGTAAAGTTTAAAAATAGTAATGAGCTTAATATGGTTAAATTAACCATATTCATTTTCCCTCCCTACTACCTGAGTCTAGTACAGACAGAAGGTGCTTAATCATTGTTATAATCAACCTATAAATTACATGACGCCAGAGACTGCTTTATCCTTTTTTGTAGATACAGTCTGTAGCCCTCAGGAACCCATCTTATCAAAGGTAGGTGTTCGTGAAGCTGGTACTTGTAGAATTAAATGTAAGGAATTTTTCTATAGTATCTGATAGCGCTTCAGTTTCTTCACTTTCATTATGGTTTTGGGGGGTTACATAGCCAAAGGAAATTTGAGAATTTGAACCCTTTGGATAAAAAATAGACACCAGCCTGGCTGGTGTTGCTCAGTGGTTAAGCATTGACCTAGGAACCAGGAGGTCACGGTTTGATTCCCAGTCAGGGCACATACCTGGTTGTGGGCTCCATCCCCATTGTGGGGCATGCAGGAGGCAGCTGATCAACGATTCTCTCTCCCTCTCCCTTCCTCTCTGAAGTATATATAAAATAGCCACCAGAGGGAAACAGAGAAGCAAGTTTCCGTTTGTTTGGAACATTCCCAACCTGGAGTCAATGCCACTGTGACAATTGCAGGACAGGGCTGCTGAACCCAGCAGTTTCCCTCCTCACTACAGCCTAGTTAATTTTGAAACTAATCATTAAGGCTTTTTAAGAAAAAAATGGCCAAAACTGAACCTCAAATATTAACCCACTTATGCTACCCAGCTGTTCTGGCAGCAGAAGTCTGAAAATACCTGGCTTTTAATCAGGCAGGCAAGCACTGCACATGTACACTTGAAACCACACCAGACTACTTAATATTCTAACTCACAAGAGGAAACCAGCTAGGACAATGAAGCAGCTTCTTTTATGATGCGATATGTGTTTTGGGGGGGTGGGATTTGGGGAGATGTGTTCTAGGAGCCACTGCCAGTTCTATTTAGAGTTAATAAAGCTTACCAGGACCCTGGGTCTCATGCAGCATGCAGCACACAGCAGAGTTAACTGTAAAATAGTTAAGAGCTGATGAAGATGGAGTGAGCTTGAAGGAGAAATCAAATATTATGAGTTCACACCAATAATGAAGAGTTAGAGGTCAAAGGAGGTTAGGAGGAGTAGGAGGGGAGGGTGGGAAGGGGGTTGGTACTCTTTCTTAACCTCTTTAAGGGCAGCCAATGGAAATTTTAAATATGTGACTCTGTTATATTAAATCACCATCTCTCCAGAAGAAATGCTTATCATCATCACTTCTACCCTCATACCCCACTACCGCCATCATCACTATGGACCATAGGGACACAGGTGTCATGATGGGTCTTCCAGGAGTTAGCTGACTGTAAGGAATTATATAAGAAGCCCAGGCCTGTGGCCACCTACACATCTGGAAGAAAGAGGACAGTCTATTTGTTCAGGTTTCCACTCACTCAGAATAGTAAAAGGGTACCTCCACCAACCCCAAATATTTCTACAGACTGTAGAGAGGGTCTTCTGCCTGGAGTTGGGGGGATGTCAAGTAATTTGAGGCAACTTGGGGGAAACCTGGTCTGGAATAAACTTCTACTAACACCGGAATAGAGACTATTTAGAGCTTAGTGTCTGTCAGTGGGGTCCAAACAAATGAATCTTCTAATTCCTACAAGCAGGCTGTGCAACTACCCCAGGGATCAAGTTAACAAATACCACAGGGCTATGAAGGCAGCAGGTTAGAGCTGGAAGACAAATTTAGACCTTTCTGATCTTAAAAATAGGAATCCATGCCTGCGGGTGCAACTGACATACCGTGACTGATCAGTTAATATGCAGTGTTTCCAAAGAGGCTTCTTTTCTGGCTAGTTGAACTTTATCCATTAAGTAATACCAGAAAGAGTTCATTAGTCAGTGAATTTGACATGCAGTGTTATGGTTCACTAATAAAAATCTTTAGACTAATTGGTGAAAATGTTCAAATTATATTAAGAATAATGAATAATCAAACTGGAAAGCTGAGTGTCTTCAAATATATTTTAATACTGTACAAAAATTAGTTTTATTCCTAAGTGATGAGCCAGGCACCGAGGAAAGGAAGATGTTTCCTCCTGGCAAATATCCAATAGTTGAGCCCTGGCCAATGTGGCTCAGTTGGTTGGAGCATCGTCCTGTGTACCAAAAGGGTTGCAGGTTCGATTCCCAGTCAGGGCACATACCCAAGTTGTGGGTTCATTTTCTGGCCCGGGCATGTACAAGAGGCAACTGATTGATGTTTCTCCCTCACATCTATGTTTCTCTCTCCCTCTCCCTTCCTCTCACTCTAAAGAAAATCAATAAAATTATATTTTGTAAAAAAAAAATCCAATAGTTGGACCAGGAACAAGTGGCTAAGAACAGAGGGCAACGACCATGGACATCTTTCAGATCCTCAGGTCTCTTTAATAAGGACATTGCCTAACCAGGGGTTCCCTAGTCACACTGCACAAACAACTTCAGAGCCCAAGGGACCACTGGGGTTTTTCCTGCTGTTGTATAGGTCCTGTCAGAAATGCTTTTCTCTTCTCTGGTTCTGGGATGAGGAATGGGTTGGGTCAGGACAATTGGCCCACATGGTAACCAAGAGCCCATGCTATCCTGCCTTACCAAATACCAGGGGAGAGAGAGAGATTGTAAAATCATTCCCCAGGTTGAGGATGGGGCACCTAGAATATACTAACGTCTAAAGGCTCCCCACCAAGTTCTTAGTTGTGCCCCAGGCCAGGAACAGCTAAGCAGTCAACAGGATGGACAGCAAAGGGGTGAGAAATCAGAACTGGGCTACAGCCTTCAGCCACAGCAGTTAAACTCTGCTGGCTGCAGCTAGTGAGAACTGAGGCAGAGAGAGGGTTGGCCTGCAGGCACGGAGCGTTCACCTCAGGTATGGGACGAGCGAGTGAGCGAGCATGCCTGGGAGCCCAATTGGTTCCAACCTCTCAGACTCTCTCTCCCACTACCCTCTATCTGCCCTCCTTTTTGTTTATCTCTTTCTTACAACTTTGCAGTGTTTATTGTTTCCACCCTTCTTCTTTCTACTCTCTCACATTCCTTTTGCTTTTCCTCTCTTTTCCTTCCCTCTCCTCCTACCTGACTTTGCAGGACATTCCTAAGAAGGCCAAACAGAGGGGGCTGGGCTTCTGGGACCTACCCTCAATTGCCCAAATTCAGGAAATCCGAAAATTGTGTGGGAACACGGAGACCAGTTATAGGCACCCAAACTGGTCTGACAGCCCACAGCTCACCTCTCTGCTCCCCATCCTTCAGACCCCTCAGCCTCCAGGTCCTGCCCTGAGGAGCAGAGAGAAGCCACCGCCCCAGAGCAACCTCCCACTTACTTTTTCTTCTCTTTGTCCCTTTTCAGAGTCTGTGAGCCTCCAGCCTGGGAGCCCTGGGACTGGAGCAGCTCGGCTGCCGACTTTCTCTGTTTGAAAGCATTCACTTCATCATCCAGGGATTTCTTCTTATCCTCTAGCTTCTTCTTCTCATCCTGGTGTAGTTTCTTCAGACGGTCAAACTTCTCATGCAGCTGGCAAGAAAGCATAGGGAGTTTGGGGGGAGTCCCCTGTCAGCAGCTTCCAACTGAGCTGAGTCCAGGGCGACAGTGGACTGGCAGGGTTACAACCCTGCAGGAGCCCTGGACCTCAGGAGACATTTCTGCTAGAGACAGCTATGATGGCACCAAAGGTCTCCATGTTCTGGATAGTCCCCTTCCCCTGCCGTTTTACCTCCAAATTTCTGCTCCTGAATATGATCAGGGAACTGTGCATTCTGCTTAATCAAACATTTTATTTAAAAGAGTCACCACACATGGTTAGTAATAATAATCCTATCCTATATAATAAAAGCCTAATATGCTAAGTGTTCGACTGTCCGATCAGTCGCTATGACATGCACTGACCACCAGGGGGCAGACGCTCTGACCAGTAAGTTAGCTTGCTGCTGGGGTCCGGCCGATCGGGACTGGGTGAAATCGACATGCCTGGAGCCCTCCTGTGGTCCCTCCCCAGCCCAGTTGTGCACCGGTGGGGTCCCTCGGCCTGGCCTGCGCCCTCTCACAATCCAGAACCCCTTGGGGTATGTCGGAGAGCCGGTTTCAGCCCTATCCCCTCAGGCCAGGCTGAGGGACCCCACCAGTGATCCGTGCACTGGGCCTCTAGTATCAGTTATAATAGTATAACATTTATTGAGTGCTTATTGTAGGCCAGGCACTGACTTTTTTAAGCACTTTATATGTATTAACTCATTTAATCATCACAACATTCCTATGAGGTAAGTTCTGTTATTATTTGCATTTGATGTGGTGACAGAAGTTAAGAAATTTGCCCAACCAAGGTCCATCCATTCTATAGAGGATTATAGAGTGAGGTCTCCCAACATGTTAGGGGTCCTGCCGTTTTTTATCCCCTCCAGTCAGGGAGGATCACCATGGAGCACAGAGCAAACTGAAGCAATGCCAAAGCTGTTCAAAGGAAGTACTTGGCCCTAGCCAGTTTGGCTCAGTGGATAGAGCATTGGCCTGTGGACTGAAAGGTCCCGGGTTCGATTCCAGTCAAGGGCATGTACCTAGGTTGCAGGCTCAATCTCTGGCCCTGGTCAGGGCACTTGCGGGGAGGCAACCAATCGATGTGTCTCACATGGATGTTTCTCTCTCTCTCTCCCCCCCTCCCTTCTACTTTCTCTAAAAATAAATGGAAAAATATACTCAGGTGAGGATTAACCAAAAAAACAACAACAAAGGAAGTACTTGTTCTTGGACATGAAAGGAGATTTTTTAAAGTTTTATAGCATGGCATGAGTGTGGAGACCTCAGCCTTGACCAAGGAGAGGCTTAACTAGCCCTGAATAGAGCCAGAGACCAGTAAGAATATTCTGGCATGCTGTTGTGGTCAGTGGATCAAGAGGTAGAAGTGGGGCCCTGCCAGTGTGGCTCAGTAGTTGAGGTCAACCAGTGAACCAGGAGGTCATGGTTCGATTCCGGGTTAGGGCACATGCCTGCATTGCAGGCTCAATCCCTGGTAGGGGGCACGCAGGAGGCAGCTGATCAATGACTCTCTCTCATCATTGGTGTTTCTACCTCTCCCTTCCTCTCTGAAATCAATAAAACTATATATTGACAAAATAGGTAGAAGTGGTATGTGATACTACCCTGAATAGTAGAGCAGACCAAGCATAATTTCACTTTCTTTTGAGGATCCAGATGTTGGGATTCTGTAGCACTTGCAGCACACCATGAAGAAGGTATTTGGGACTGTCACTTGGTAAGGGATGGTGGGTGACAGATTCACAGGGTAAGCCAGCTTTTATTAGTCATTTGGGGTAGGGGGATAGAAGCTCTGCCAGTCAGTTGCTTTAACTTGGCTTTTGTCCATTGGCTTTTCATTCATTTCTCTTTGAGGTTCCCTTACCCCTCCTCCTAAAAGTACTGGGTGATATTTTTCTTTTGAAAAGTGAAATTGAAGTAAAGTCAACAGCCTTGTCCTGGGTTTTGGTGATAACCCTAGAGAGTCACAGCAGATTACAGGGAAAGATACTTGGGCAGTAATTAAGTGCTTCCCTTCATCATGGGCTCCGAGGCCCAGAGAGTGAAGCAGTTGTTAGTCACCAAAACTGTAGCTGAGGCCACTTTAATCAGGCAGCAGTGGGTGAATTGGGAGGGGGACCTGGAATACAAGGCAATAGTTGTAGGACCAACTGCACTCTATTAGGCACGGCTTCAGTAATGGAAACCCCAGGGGGACCATCAACCCTTAGTTTACAAACTCTCTAGATGCGCACAGATGTTTCTTTAATGCCACCATGAAATGGAACAGAATATCCAAATGACTCAGAAAGTGCCCAGCTGTTACTGTTTTAGGTTTCAACAAGGTACCCAGGATTGCCTGGGACCATCTTTCACCATGGCCGTCAGAGAGCAGTTGGGTTGGGCAGGACAGCCAAGAATCAGTTTGCACCTGACCTCAAGGGGCTATGTGAGGTCTTTTGTTGTTGTTAATCCTCACCCAAGGATATTTTTCCCTTTGATTTTTTTAGAGAGTGGAAGGGAGGGGGAAAGACAGAGAGAAACATTGATTTGAGAGAGAGACACATCGATTTGTTGTCTCCTGCACATGCCTGACCGGGGCGGGGATTGAGCCTGCAACCGAGGTATGTGCCCTTGATGGGAATCGAAACCGAGACCCTTCAGTCCACAGGCCAATGCTCTAACCACTGACCCAAACCAGCTAGGGCAAGGTCTTGACTCTGGAGCACTGCTGCGCAATAGAACTTTCTGTGGCAATAGAAATGTTCTCTATCTGTGCTGTCAAATACGATAGCCACTAGTCACATGAGACTGAGCATTTGAAATGTGGCTAAGGTGACTGAGGAAATGAGTTTTAAGCTTGTTTATTTTTAATTAATTTCAGTTTAAATAGCCACATGTGGCTAGTGGCTACCATATGGACAGTGCTGCTCTAGAGAACTAAGTAACACGGAATGAGACAACATCCTGGTCTTGGAGAATGAGGGATCAAGAAGACAAAGATCCCTCGCAGCTCCCTCTGTGCCAGCCGAGGCAAGGCTACAGATGCTGTGCCCCATTTCTTCCTGGAGGCTGAAAGGCTCTGGCTGGCTGTGCTCTCAGGGCAGAAGCTCTTGCCATGCCCAAGCTCAGCTTCCTTTCCCTTCCTGCCTAACACCGAGGCTCCCATTTACCTCTTTCTCTGCCTCTTTGAGTTCAGCTTCTTTCTCTTTGACTCTCTGGACGAACATCTGTCTCATCTCCTCTTCTTTTTTCTGGAGTTCCCCTAGGAACTCATTCCTTTTGGCCTCATACGTCTCCTGCAAACTGGGAACATAGGTTAATTCTCCTGCCTTTGGAATGGCTCCTATTGGATGGAAACTGACTCCAATGATCCTCCCTGGGTTCCCCCATCCTCCCCTCCCTGATTTGGGGAGAGGTGCAAACACAGAACCACAAAGCTGTGGGCAGCTGACTTGGCATGTGACAGCAGAATCACAGGGCAGCTTGAGGGTAATGGGGCAGTCCTGGTGAACTGGAGAGATATTTAGAACTGGGAGTCACTTAGAACATCTGCCTCTATACTCTCATTTTACAGGTGAGGAAACAGGCCCAGAGAGGTGAAGAGACTTGCTCAAGACCACACAGCTAGTTAGAGGTACAACTGGGACTGGAAGCTGGGTCTTTTGTCTTTCACTCTGGGGCCCTCCTATTCCACTTTGCTGGCAGGTCCTGGCTCTGAAACTGACCACATTAATGAACTATTGCAATACACACTTGATGAGACCCCAATACGTGCTAGACACGGGATTGAGTGACATGAATACTAGTCACTCAACATCTAGAGCCAACAGCCACAGTGCCTGCCATCAAAGAGCTTACAGTCTAGTGGGAGATGCCTGGGCTACGTCTCCCTGACCCCAGCCTGGGCTTAGTTTAAAAAAAATAGGAATTAGCCTGGTGAAAAAGAAGGAAGTGTGCTCTGAAGAGAGCGGCATGTGCAAAGGCACATGTGGAGAGAGACTGGCATACTCGGGGAGGCAGGCCTAGTTCCACATGGCTGGAGAATCTAGTGTGAGCTGTGGAGTGGTGGGATATGAAGTCCCTGAGTCTGGCAAGAGAGAGCAAGCGTTGGAGGCCATATTAGACTGGGACATTTATCTACACTGTAAGGTTTTAAGTCGGAGGACTGACTTGACCCAACTTGAAAATGAGAAAGAACACTCTGGCTGTTGCATAAAGGACAGACTTTCCAACAATCCAAGAAAGAAATGACAGGCTCTTAATGTTAAGAGTTGGTGAGGACGTGAGGGACCTGAAGGAACAATAAGGGAAGCAGAACTCCCAGGACTTGGGAGGACTCAAAATTTATTTCGGTTTTGGGCTCGGGCAACCAGGTGAATGGTGGTACTGTGAGCTGCGACAGGGAACACTGGAGAAGAAGTATGGTTAAGAGGGGAGAAGTTGACTTAAATTTTAGACAGCCCACGTTTCAAGTATGCCACCTATGGAACATCTGAGTGAAAACATCCAGTATGCAGTTAGCTCTATGGATTTGGAGCTCAAACATAGGATTTTAGCTTGGGATTCATCTATTTCTGGGTGGTAATTAGGGCTGTGAGAGGAGAAATAACCAGCTGCAAAGAGAATAGAGATGAAAGGAGCAGAGACCCTACGAAAGAATCCTGGGGCACAACATTTAAAGGAGTAAGCTGAAGAAAATGAACCTGCTGATGAAGCTGAAAAGGAGTAGCAAGAGCGATAGGAATAAAACCAGCCAGACCAGTGCTAGAAAAGCCAAAGGCAGAGAGAACTTCGGAAGGAGGCAACGAAGGAATTTCAAACGATGAGATTAAAAAAAGATGGAACTTAGCCCGGCAGGTGTGGCTCAGTGGTTGAGTGTCAGACCATGCACCAACAGATCACTGGTTCAATTGCCAGTCAGGGCACATGCCCAGGTTTCGGGCTCAATCCTCAGCAGGGGGTGTGCAGGAGGCAGCCGATCCATGTTGATGTTTCTCTCTCATGTTGATGTTTCTCATGTTGATGTTTCTATCTCATCTGTGTTTCAATCTCTCTCCCTCTTCCTTCCTTTCTCTCTTAAAAAAACACACAATAAAAACATATTTAAGCCCAGCCAGCATGACTCGGTGGTTGAGCATCAACCTATGAACCAGGAGGTCATGGTTTGATTTCCGGTCAGGGCACATGCCAGACTTGCAGGTTTGATCCTCAGTAGGGGGCATGCAGGAGGCAGCTGATCAATGATTCTCATCATATCTCCCCCCCTCTCTCATCTCCCCCTCTCTCTTCCTCTATGAAATCAACAAAAATATATTTTAAAAACCACATTTAAAAAACAAAAAAAAAGAGATGAGACTTAGAAGCCACACTGTAATTGACCATGAGTGTGTAATTGCTGATCTTGGAGGGAGGCATTTCAGTGGTGTGGTGAGATCAGAAGCCAAAAAATAAGAGCAACTTTCTCCTTCCTGTCAGAGCCGAACCTCTTGACAGGGCAGAGGCTGGTGAGGAAGAGCAGTTAAGTGTGAATTTCTTTAGGATGAGAATATTTACATGCAACATCGAAAGGAGCTGGCAGAGGAGTGCAGAGGGTGAAGACACAGGTAACAGGTGTTCAGGATGGAGCAAAGGAGGAGGGGAGGGGACTAGAAGAACAGGTAGAGGCACATCTCTTCCTCCACAGATGCAGATTAAAGCTGGTGGAGGGGAAGGACAGAGAAAGCTAAGGAAGCACCCACTGGGGAGACAAGCATACCTTCCTCCAACCCCAAGAGCTCCAGTGGCCCCTGTCCGAGATAGGGACTGAGTCTGCCCCTCCAGAACCAAGCAATGCTGAAGGACTGGCTATGCTATGCCCCCTGGCCAGGTTTCCACTGTGAGCAGGTACTGTGGATCTCTGACAGCCTTCTTAGCCCACAACCCTCCCCATCACTTGCTTATCAAGGTTTGACATTTCCTGAAAGAAGACCAAGCCCTGGTAAGGGCAACACATGGTCATTTAAAATGTGGGGCTTATATCAGACATTGTGCATACAGATCAGACAATTGGGACATTGGCTCCTATTAGCAGAGTAAACTGCTTTCAGAAACATTCCTCTTCTCTGGAAGCATCTTAGATTCTGATTTAAGAAGTATGTCAATGACTCTTAGCATCCTTTGGTCAAAACAAAACCTGCACTTGACAGTGAATGAAGAGCCTCAAGTTCATCAGTGCATATGCAATGACTGCTACCTGAACCCGTCTGGTTTTGATAATGGGCAGGAAGGTAAAGAACACACTGGACATCTGACAGAGCAGCAGGATCCTGCTGAAGAAAGTGGGGCATAGGACAGGCACAAACTGCTCCAGCTCAGGGCCCCCTCCGGTATAGCTGGCTGCAGCTGCTGTGTGTGCACAGTGAGACCATCGGCCTTGCTGGGCCTCTGGGCCTCCTCCATGGCCCACTGCTTACCAAGCCCACCTGGCTACAACTCCCCCAGGAAGGCAGAGAGGGACTGGCAGGTAAAACTGGCCAATGACTGAGTCCTGATGCTCTTGGTCTCAGCACATGTGTCTGACTCCCTTGTGGATGCTCTAGGGCAGTGGTTCTCAACCTTCCTAATGCCACGACCCTTTAATACAGTTCCTCATGTTGTGGTGACCCCCAATTTCATTGTTACAAATTGAACATAATTAAAGCATAGTGATTAATCACAAAAACAATATGTAATTATATATGTGTTTTCGGATGGTCTTAGGCGACCCCTGTGAAAGGGTCATTCGACCCCCAAAGGGGTCGCGACCCACAGGTTGAGAACCGCTGCTCTAGGGTAAAGCCTCCATGCCCCCTGGGTTGGCCCGGCTGAGTTGGGCAGAGTTGGGCGTGAGAGATACCTGAAGGGTTTGCTGTCGGGGTCAGTGTCCTTGAAGCCCATCTCCTCCAGCTTGCAGCGGCGGTACAGCTCATAGTGCCGGCTGTGGGTCTGCTCCCGGAGGTCCTCCATGTTGACCCGAAGCAGCATCTCCCGCAGCTTCACAAAGTCGCAGTGGGCCTCATTTTCAACTGCATAGTAAGGGTTGGGGAGTTGAAAGTATATTGAAAGGAAGGCCAGAAGAAGAAGAAATGGTTAAATAAGCCCAGCCAGTGTTGCTCAGTGGTTGAGTGTCAACCTATGAACCAGGAGGTCACAGTTCAATTCCCAGTCAGGGCACATGCCTGGTTGTGGGCTCAACCCCCAGTAGGTGGCGAGCAAGAGGCAGCGATCAATGATTCTCTCTATCATTGATGTTTCTATCTCTCCCTCTCCTTTCCTCTCTAAAATCAATATATATATATATATATATATATATATATATATATATTAAAAAGAAATGGTAAAATGAGAAGCGAAATGTCTTACAGCAACACGGCCTTTCAATCTCTATACAGAGCTTATGAATTTGCCTCCTGATTTCCTTTTCTACTGATAAGACAAATGAAAAGTTACAAGAATGACAGTCATGGAAACCACAATACCATAAAAAAAAACCTACAAAGACATTCAGTAGCACCTCAACCCCAATTCACCAATTAGACCCTCACAAGAGTTTCTGCCCTGCACCATTCTTAAGACAATGACACACACATGTTCAGCCACCTGTCCGGTAAACATTTGTGGAATCTCTGTTCACAGTATTGTATGAGGCACTGGGAATTCAGAAACAAAGGCATGGAGTCTTGCCCTTAGCAGTTTAGTGGAAGAATAGATGCAAATAGACAAATACAACACAATGCAAACATTATGAAAATAACAGTAGATAGCCAAGGTGCAATGAAAGCCCAGAAGAGAGGGGCCTAAGAACTCATGGGAGAGTGAAGGCTTCACCAAAGAGGCAACCGCTAAGACGACTCTTGAAGGAAGAATAGTAATTTATCAGGCAGAGGAGGAAATAGTCTTGGCAAGGTCTCAATGAGGTCAAGCAAGGTTAAGTAGCTAATAAGTTGCAAGGTTAGGCTTCCAATAACAAGTGATCTAAAGCAGCGGTCGCCAACCTTTCGGACCTCACAGACCACCAGTGGTCTGCAGACCACCGGTTGGCAACCACTGACTAAAGAATAAGCAAAGTGCCGAAACCGGTTTGGCTCAGTGGATAGAGCGTCGGCCTGAGGACTGAAAGGTCCCGGGTTCGATTCCGGTCAAGGGCATGTACCTGGGTTGCGGGCACATCCCCAGTAGGAGATGTGCAGGAGGCAGCTGATCGATGTTTCTCTCTCATCGATGTTTCTAACTCTCTATCTCTCTCCCTTCCTCTCTGTAAAAAATCAATAAAATATATTATAAAAAAAAGAATAAGCAAAGTATATAACTAGGTGTCAAAGTCCCCAAAGAATAAGGAGGAAGAAGTAGGACATCAATAGCTGACAGTGACAAGGAGGGGTATGGCCCATCTGGATGGTAGAAGCTTCAAAGGAGGTGTGTTTTAGAGGGTGGATACGGCCTGACAGCAGCAATAGTGACCAAAGTGGACCCCACTTTCCAGCTTGAGTGGGTAAGCCCCTCCACAAAAGAGTGTGGCAAAGGTCTGCATTTGGGGCAGTGGCCAAGAAGGACAGAGATGTGGACCAAATAATAGCAATGTGGACTTCTGGCTCAAACACAAGTTTGGGAGCAGTGCTCCGCCACATGTATCCAGGCATGGCTGCACCGTGTCAGAATGGGAGTGTCTAGTCTGACCATGTGGGGGAAGGGGGGCTTGAGATGATGAACAAGCACAGTCACCCCATACCCTGTCTTGCAGGGTGTTTTGGAGAAGGTAGTGAGGGCAGGGAGGGTCCGGGATGACAGCGTGGGGCATAGTTGCAGCCAACTGCTTTGCAGTCAGCAGAGTAATCTTTCCAAAGCCCAAATTAGCTCACATGACCCCTCTGTTTAATGCCCATTCCCTTTGGGATAAAGCCCCTCACTGTCATAGAACATAAGCTAATATGAAATATTGCATCTGTCAGGCAACTTTTCAGGACCATCACCTCCTCTGTCTCCGGATAGTGACCCCTGGTGGTCGGTCAGAAGGAGTGACTCTAAGGCCCCTATATGCTGCCCAGACAACAAACATCTTCTTCCTCACTTGAATACAACACTTAACCCCGACTTATAAGAAAAATGTTCAAAAACCACTTTGTTGGTTAGGTGGGGAGTGGTCTAAGTTGGAGGAAGTACTGGAACCACACCTGCTAGCTTCACCTCAGGTTCCTGTCTCTCAGACCACAAATTCATTCCCTCTGTTGGACTGTTGGTTCAGAAACCATTTGCAAATGTTCCTAGTGGACCATCTCCAGCCCCGACTGGCAGAGAAGACCAAAACCTGACAGTTCTGATGACCAGTCTTGTCTTAGCCACGGCAAATTCCACTACTGCAGCAGGGTCTCTGTTGTGCCCTAAAGTACGCCGGCCTGTGGGTGAGATATGGACAACTTCTCACTAACTTTCACTTGTTTCTCAGTGTCAGGGATGAGTCTGCAGTGAACCAGCCACCCTGTCACACATGGTGCCCCTGCCATCCCAGACCTAGCTTACAGCTGCAGACTCAAGAGGCCGGCCCACCTCTTCCACCCATGGCAGTCCTAGGCCTAGTTTCATGTACTGAATTGACTAGTCCGAGTGTAACTTCACACGCATCAAGCAGACCACAAAGGGAACTTTCCTGATTGTATATACGTTTGTTTTTAAACTGCAAAATAATCAATCACACATACAAAACAGTGCATGAAATGTGCAATTTAAAGAATTTTTTTAAATGAATACCAATGTATCCAGGGCCTTGGTGAAACATTACCAGCACCTTAGAAGCTTCCTAATGGCCTTTCCTGAGCTCATGATCCTCCTTCCCCACCACGACATATAACCTGACTTTTGGGTTGATCATTCCTTTGTTTTTCTTTGTAGTTTTACCACTTACATATGAATTCCTAAAGATATATATCTTGTTTAGTTCTGTCTACTATTGAAATTCATGTAAATAGAATAATACATGTATTCTTCTGTGACGTATTTAGCTTCTATGACCTATTCTTCTATGATCTATTTCTGAGATGCATTCATGTAGATGTAACTATAACCCATTCATTTTCACTGCAGTATAATATCCCATTATATGAACATTTCAAAATTTACTTTTTTATTGATTTTCAGAGAGAGAGGAAGGGAAAGGGAGAGAGAGAAACATTGGTGTGAGAGCAAAACATTGATCAGCTGCCCCCTGCACGCCCCCTATTGGGCACTGAGCCCATAACCGAAGTATGTGCCCTGACCAGAATCAAACCAGCAACCTTTCGGTATATGGGACGATGCACAACCAACTGAGCCACACCATCCAGGGCCATCTAATTTATTTTTAATGAATATCTGAGTTGTTCCTAATTATTTACTATTATGAACAACTCTGCTTTGGACATTGTTGTAAGTCTCCTGATGTGCTAGAGCAAGTACACATGCTCTCTTGCACACTCCTTCCCACCTTGCAAGAGGTACATTTATTTTTGTTTTAGGAATGCTTTCTCCATTGGAGACAAAGAGAGCCTACTCATGGCAGAGAATCCCGAAGCCAGAGTTTGCCTGCTGGCAACTACTATGGCTGTTTGAGGCCCAAGATAAAAGAGTAGAGGCCTGGAACAAGTTAGGGACTGGTCAACCAATGGCTGGGGTCAAGCAAAGAGACAGATAGAAGGAGCTTCCTTCTCCCGGTCTCCTGGAGACTCACCCTGCACTGTGCCCCAAGGATACTGCCGGGCCCTCATCATCTTGTTGCCTATCTTCAGTTCTTCTGTGCTGCCAACAACAGCAAAAGGCAGGTGGGCCTGAAACAGAAGGCAAACAAAAGCTCAGAACTCCAGGAGGAAGGCAGAGCTCCCCAATACAAATGCTGCTCATCTCCTGGGCCTCAGGCCCTCACACTGCAGCCTCCCTCACTGTCATCAACAATCAAGAGGCACTTCTAAAGCTCCCGGGGTGCCTGGGGATAAGAGGCCTAGTCCAGACTTCTGCTGTTCAGAAATTCACAATAAAAGGTAACAATGACATGGCCGAATGCATAGGGAATAGACAAAGACAGCAAGCAAATCAGCAGAATAATAAGCAGATATACAGATTAGTTAGCTTCTCAGTATTCATAGTTGCTGACGGAAAGAGCCTTTGGAAGGTGGGTGAGTGGGATGAGGGGGGCTATAGGGACCATGAGGCTAAAGGAGAACAGTTATACTGGGATCACTGGCCCTCTCCCTTCCCTAGAGTGTGAGTATATATACACCGAAAATAGGTGTATACTGAAACCACACTGCTGACTGAGCTGTATGCTCCTTGTTCTTGTCCTTCCCTGGAGGAAGAGCTCACACTGAACTCTTGAGCCTAGAAGTCAAGTCCATACGTATTTATCCACATGCCCATGACTGTGTTGGATTCTGTTTTAGGTGCTGTAAGGGAGCCAAAAGAAGTAGAAGACATATTCCCTCACCCTCTAGGAGCTTACAATCTTGTTGGGGAAGCTCGATTTACATACCCCAAATCATATAAGACGGAATATGACCAAGGGCTCAAATGTATGCTCTGGTGTCCGGCACATAGTAGGTGCTTCATCAATACTCCTTGAATGGCAGTGGCAAGGCCATGGGAATAGTAGAGAGGAAAGAAAGAACAAGTATAAAGAGGGGTCTGAGCTTGGTGCTTGCAGGGGGTAACGAGGAGCGAGGCCTGGCTAATGAAGGCTTTGTGGGTCAGAGAAGAGACAGCTGCCCCCAGTTGGTAGTGTGGGGCCTGGGAAAGCGCCCCTTCTGCAGGGAGGTGGTCAGGTTATAAGAGCTGAGTGACCATTGGCCAAATGGAAGCACTGAATAAATACTGTTTACAGACCCGGTGATTCCAAGCGGGGCTTTCCCTAAAAGGACTCTACAAGGACAAGTAAAAAGTCCACTAGAGCTTTCTTACCCTGCCTGGAGAAACAGGCCTCGATCGAAGATATTTTGATCCATGGTTCATTCTTCCATTCTATAAATATTTACTGAGCTCCTGCTATGTACGAGGCATTAAAAAGAATACACTAATAAAAAAGTTCAGAGCCTGCCCTTGGAGAGTGCACAGTCTGGTGGGGGAGAGTCATGCCAACAATGATAACACAGTAAGGTCCAGATTATAAACAGAGGTTCGAGGGCTGGAAGGACACAGAGGAGGGAGCAGCTAACTCCGTGGGAAGTTAAAGCAGGCAGTAGCAATTGTGCTAATAGTATTGTAGCTGTAGAACTGATATTAGCAGCAGCAATTCACTCAACTCTATGCACTCCATATCAGCTGCTCTATCTTGCATTATCTCATTGAATCTTTACAACAATGCTTGAAGTAGGTATTTTTTATCCCGTTTTACAGAAAAGGAAACTGACGGCCTGAAGGGCTAAGTGACTTGCCAGCAATCACACAGGAGTAAGGGGCAGAACAAGAGGTGGAATCCAGGTTTCTCAGACTTCAAAGCCCACCCCTGCTGGTCTGCCACCCCCATTTCGAGGTTAGAGCAGCAGATGAGGTGAGCACTCCAAACCCTAGGATGAGCTGGTTGTGCAAGGTCAGATTAGAAGAGGCGGTTCAATTCCGGGAAACCTACAGCAAATGTTTTTTTGTTTATTTAATTTGTGCACTGATCTCAGAGCCAATCTGTCCTCTCCATTCTCTTTTAGCTCTGTACCCCAAGAATGTTCTTAGGAGTGGAAAAACACAGGACTTAATCACGAGCTCAGCTCCAGGACATCTGCTAATCCCCCGTGGTGCTTGACCATCCAGCTGAAGTGGCTCACCCCATCCTCTCTCAGCAGCTCTCAGAGTAGCATCTCAGGCCACCCCTTCACATTCCGCTGACTGTCCCTGAAACAGGGACATAGGGAAGAGGGAAAGAGGAGGTTATGGATACGGAAGGTGAGAAAGGGGTAAAGGTGGGAAATGTTTCATCAGTCCTACTAGGGGAATGAATGATCAAGAGGGTCATTGGGGCCCGGCTGGCGTGGCTCAGTGGTTGAGCGTCAACCTATGAACCAGGAGGTCACTATTCAATTACTGGTTGGGGCACATGCCGAGGTTATGGGCTCGGTCCCCAGTGTGGGATGTGCAGGAGGCAGCCAATCGATGATTCTCTGTCATCCTTGATGTTTCTGTCTCTCTTCCCCTCTCCCTTCCTCTCTAAAATCAATAAAAATGTTGAAAAAAAAGAGGGTCATTGGGCATGCATGTGATACATGTGGCATTAGGGGGGCACTGAAATCTCAAAAACCCTGACCAAGTGCCAGAGATCTCTGACCTCTGCCAGCTGGCTTTGCCAGGGGCAATTCATTCTCACTCAGGAACCAAAGACATGTCAGGAGCCTCAAACCCACCCCCAAACACTTTCCAGGAAAATGTTGCCCTTCCTGCAGAGACCCCAAAGCTTTGGCCACATGATAGAAAAGAACCAGGGGGCAGTGATAGTGGAGGGCTGGATGGCGGAGGGCTAGACTGAGGGAGGAGGTGAGAAAGAGAAACCACATTGTATCATTTTCACACATCCTGGGCTCTCAAAGGAAGTGATGGAGGAGGAGGCTGTGTGAAGTGGGAGGTATTTCTCTGGGCTCAAGAGAAAAGCAGAAAAAAAATAACAAGAAGAGAATAAAGGCATAAAAAATGTGAGTATTCCCTTGGGCCTATTATTTTTATCTCCAAAAGACATTGTTAGTTAGAATGACAGGGTCACTTGCTTCCTCTCTTCCTTAAACAGCTGTTATTTTACCCCTCCCCATTCAAAAATTCACAGCCCCCGCCCAGGCAGCTTCAGAGGGCTCGGGAAACCTCCCACGGCCCACTCCTTTGCAATTGGCATCAAAGTCTGTTTTGATAAATATATGCAAGGATAGCATGTCCTAGTGCTCCCAGGCAGATTTCATTCGATTCTCACAACAGTGTTATAGGACAGTTATTATCAACCCCATTCATGATTTGGGAGAACTGCACACAGAAGGGTTAAATGAGTTGCCTGGATCCCTAACTCTCCAAGCTTTAAATGCCAGCCTCCCCCCAGTCACTCAGGGCCGCTTGCACTGTGCCTCTAGGTTAAATGGCATTCGTTAGAAGTCAGCTAACCTGTGAAGGGCAGGAAATCATGGGGCCAGGCTCGGGCCCTCTTTCTGCTGCTCTTGAGAGACGAATGGCTATGACAGCCAGAATAGAGTCAAGAAGCGCAGAGAGAAGGTACTCCCTTCATACTCTCAGGGGTGACATTGGGTATGTGTGGGTCCAGGGAGGAGACTCTGATGGATGCAAGACAGTGCTGCAGCTGAAACAGTGACAGACTCCTAAGGGGACTCCGTGGACCTGTCTCACCCAGAAGACCTCTGATGAGGTGCCCCCAGAGGTCAGATGCCCCAGTCTTAGATAACTTCAACAAGAGAGAGCCTCAAGTTTCATCTTGTGAGTCTAGCTCCAGATTCACCACCTTTCCTGTCTCGTGTCTACCTTCAATTCCTCTTGGCATATTTTAAAGTGTTTGATGATCCAGTTGGCATGAATGATTCTCTTCTGGTTCCACTACATCTGTTATACTCTGGGAGGACAGATGATCAGTCCCCTCAGCCTGGTGAAATAGAGACTGTCGGGGCCCTTTTCTCCTCATCTGACAATATCCAGTTAGGTGTGGCTTCCTCCCAGGGCTGACAGTATTTCCCAGTTGTGCTGCTGGTTATGTTCGCCCCCATTTCAGGCTCCTATGGCGACTGAGCAAGAGCATTGCCTGATTTTCAAGTCAGTCCTTGGTGATTCCCACAAAAGTGTGTGCAAACGATGGAAAGGGCACTGCTGCCTCCGGAGAAAGGACAGGCTTGTGCCTGTGGGTCTCCCTGTGACTCTACGGGTCACCGATGTGACCAAATGCCTTTATAAGGGTCAAACCCAGGACCTCACAAGTGGCCACTCAAGTGAGACAAGTAAAATAATTGGGCCTATTGCCTGATCCCTGGCCATGGTTTGAGCCATACAAAGAACAACACTGAATTTGAACAACACAGCAATTTTTAGTATTAAAGTCTACAATCTTGAGTTATCAGAGCGTGGACTGAAAGTAGCATGCCACGAGATCTCTCACTACTTTGCTCCCTCAATCTAAAACCAGGGTTTTCAGAGCCACCAGAAATCAAAGGGGAAGGCTGAGACCTCATTATTTTCATTTCCTGCCATGAAATGGTGGGCAGGGGGATGGCTACACAGTCCTCTCCACTTAGGCAAGAGGCTTCTCCACTTTTTCCAGCCCAGTTCCCATAGTAATTGGCTGGGGTGGCTGAGGCTGTGGGGCTGGAGTCAAATCCAGAATTGAAAGGCCAGCATCCATTCCTCCTCCCACCCAAGCCCAGATTTCAGATGATGCAGCTTCATATACCACGCTTGTCTGAAGGCCCTGGGGACTTTTGAAACAGTTGTAACGGTGGCTAAGCAATCCTGTGTATATATTTTATAGCATCCCATCCCCCATCACAACACACATAACACATAGCATTCACATGCATGACCCCTCCCACAGGCATGCCCAATTCCAGGCACAGTAGCTGGAGGCCACCCTCTCTTTCCCACTCAGAAAAGCATGGTGGAATGCCAGGGAATGAATGCTGAGTGATATTGTTATAGTGATAACCCTAAACCCACTAAACCTCCAGTTATAAAAATAATAATGAGTCATGGGGATGTGTACAGCATAAGAAAAATAATCAATATTATTATAACTAGAGGCCCAATGCATGAAATTCATGCAAGAGTAGGCCTTTGCAGTCCCAGCTGCCTCGAGGCCCCACGGGCGTGTTCCCCCCCCCCCCCCCGCCCACTTGTAGTTCTGGAAGGTTGTTCTGGAATATTGTTCCACCGTCCCGTCTACTTAGCATATTAGCTCTTTATTATATAGGACTAGAGGCCTGGTGCACAAAATTCATGCACTGAGAGGGGGGGCGGTTCCCTCAGCCCAGCCTGCACCCTCTCCAATTGGGGACCCCTTGGGGGATGTCCGACTACTGGTTTAGGTTGGATATCCCTCTCGAAATCTGGGACCGCTGGCTCCTAACTGCTCAGCTGCCTGCCTGATCGCCCCTAACTGCCTCTGCCTGCCTGCCTGATTGCCCCCAACTGTCCTCCTCTGCTGGCCAATTTGGTTCTGATTGGTTGGTTTCTATGCCAGTCAGTGTCAAAAGCTCCGCCTCCTAGGCAGCCATTGGAATCCCACAGCACCCAGATTTGGTTCTGATTGGTCGGTTTCTATGCCAGTCAGCATCAGAAGCTCCGCCTCCTAGGCAGCACCCAGATTTGGTTCTGATTGGTTGGTTTCTATGCCAGTCAGAGTCAGCAGCTCCACCTCCTAGGCAGCCATTGGCTCCCCACATCACCCAAATTTGGTTCTGATTGGTCAGTGTCTATGCCAGTCAGCATCAAAAGCTCCACCTCCTAGGCAGCCATTGGCTCCCCACAGCACCCAGATTTGGTTCTGATTGGTCGGTTTCTATGCCAGTCAGTGTCAGAAGCTCCGCCTCCTAGGCAACCATTGGTTCTTCACAGCACCCACATTTGGTTCTAATTGGTCAGTTCCTATGCCAGTCAGCATCTCCGGACCTGATCAGAGATGTGGGGCTGAACAGCAGCCCCCGCAGAAGCCTGGCTGCTGGTGAAGCCCGGAAAGAAAGAGGGAGAGAAAGAGAGAAGCAGGTACTGATCAACAGCTGCCACTGAGGCTGCGGATCAGACCCGGTCGCCAGGCTGCAGAGGGGCAGTCAGTGCTGGGTCTCCATGGCAACCCAGTGCTGACTGAAGGAATTCCGGGTTGATCAGCCTTTGGTCGTGATCGGTTGTTACAACCCTGGGCTTTTATATATTAGGATAATTCTGTATAGTGACAGGTGGGGACTTATGGAGGTGATCACATCATAAGGAATATAAATATTGAATCACTATGTATGTTATATACCTGGGACTAATATAAATTTCTATGTCAACTCTAATTTTTAAAAAGGAAAACGATTTAGTTTTTCAAAGTGAACTACTGGCAAACTTTGGACTAGCATAAAAAGGACCCCAACCCCTTCACAGTCCAAACAGTGTGGTTGAGAACTGTTGCTTCATAGCATGGGAAGTTTCCAACCCTAGCCGTGCCTGCCCCAGTCAAACAGGAGGACAAGGCTAAGCTGGGAGCAGAGGCCAAAATAATTGCCAGTCCTTATCCACAATGTAGTGACATGTAGTTTTGTGTGACACCTTGAAAATTCAGAGAACTCTTAGCCCCTTTCCATTCTTAGGAAAGCAAACCATAAGCCTGAAAAGTTTCCTGGTGACTTAGGGAATCCATGTTTAAAGATGTCTATGAGGTCCTATGTTCTGAGGTGACAGGTGCTTCCAGACATCAGTGCCAGTGATACCAAGTGACACTTCTCTCTGGGCTCCCATTTTTCTGTAGGCTAGGCACCCTTTCAGTTTTTCTCATTGTGACAGAGCATGGTTTCCATTCAAACATCCTGACTTCTTGAGAAAATAAGTACTAGTCTGTTTTTTCTTTTTCTTTTTTGTTTTGTTTTTTTAGTGCTCACGGCTGGTTATAATTTCATCTACCATAATCCACATAGCCATCCTCTTGGGCCAGATTTGTCAAAGGTGATAAGGGACTTCTAATCTCAGGTGTACTGATAAGCAGGAAGTCAAGACAGACAATGTCTTGCTGCCCCGCTATGCTAATTTGTTGGTCAATTCATAGGAGGTGGCAGCTGAAGATATAATGATAACTTACGGGGCAGCAGCAGCAGGAAAGTTTCTAAAAATGGTTTTTATTACAAGGCTTTCCTGAGTTTGGCTATACCCAGGCATTATGTCATTAGGAAAAACTGATGCCTCTCAGTAGAGAAAAAGAAATCTGTTCCCAAAGCAGAGGCTTTCCGCAAGCTATTAGCTGTCTCCTTGAAATCATAACATTGAAGATTTCACAGCAACAGCATCAACACATTGTAAAGAAGCATGAGGCGATGTTTGACTCTCTGCCTTCTTCATTACTCACTCCTCTAGTGAAAGGGGGAGGAGAGGCAAGATGGCAAGTTGCTTTTTTTAAAAAAAAAATTCATTGACACTTAATAAACCAAAGCATAATCCTGAAACTTTAAAAATAATATTCCTCTAGTCACCAGAAAAATGGGGGCCATATAGCATTTTTCCTCCCAGGAGCAGAGGGCTTGATTATCTGAGTACAGATTACCCCCGAGTCTCCAAAGCCAGCCAACATTTTCAGCCTTGTCTTCTTTCACCGCATCAATTGTCACAGCATTGTTTTGGTCAGAGACAAAGAATGTTTGCCTTTCCAGCAGTCTCTTGGGGCTGCCTGGCCTAGACCAGAGCCGGCATCAAAGAGGAGGGTGGAAGGGGAGGTCTGAATCTCCCGCTCCAGACTCTTTCTGGAGTCAGCCTTTCCATCCTTTAGTCTCTGGCTATTTATCTCAGAATCACTGAGGCTTTGAAGCAGCCACCACTAGGAAAGAGGAGCTATCTCATCCTGGATTCTCTCTCACAAATGCTCAGCCCGTCCAGTGTGGCTCAGTGGTTGAGCATTGACCTATGAACCAAGAGGTCATGGTTAGATTCCCTGTCAGGGGCATATGCCCAGGTTGTGGACTCAATCCCCCCTAGGGGGGCTGGCAGGAGGCAGCCGATCAATGATTCTCTCTCATCATTGATGTTTCTATCTCTCCCTCTCCCTTCCTCTCTGAAATCAATAAAATACATTTTAAATATTAAATATTTAAAACAAACAAACACCTGAGACTCAGATAACCAAGAATTAACTATACTAAAATGGATAGTGAAGATGTCTGACAGCTATTTGGTGAAATAATAACAATAATAAAAATAAAGAGCAAATGGCTAGAATGTTGAACCCCTGTGCTCCCACTCACATTCATGGTTCCGTTGATCTCTGCCACCGACTCGTCATCCGTAGGAAACTGGTAAATCTGGACCCCGTTGCTGACAAGCTCGCTGGTGATTTTGATTTTGAACTTTGTTAGCTCACTCTTAGAAATGGCATCTGATTTGGCAATGATGGGGATTATGTTCACCTACAGAAGGGAGGAGCACAGTGGGAACATCGTTGGTAATTTGCAACTGATAGCAGCATGGCTTAGGACTTCCACCAGCTGCCAGAGGGAGCAGCTCAACCCAATGGTCTAGGACTGGCCAACTCTGTAGCTAAGTAATATAATCAATGAGTGCTTACGAAGTGCTGGGCGCTGAAGTAAGTGCTTTACATAGATTAACACAATCCTGATCATAGCCCTCCCAGGAGGTATCATTACCGCTATTTTACCAATGAGAAACTGAGGCATGGAGAGGTTAAATAACTTGTCCAAGGCCACAGAGCAGGTAAGTAGCAGAACTGGGATCCAAATCCAAGTTTAGCCTTATTCCTAAGTCCACAAGCTTAACCATGAGCTGTCTACCAGCTCAGATCGAAATTGATGAGCCGTGTGATATCTTCATATCAAGGTCACTGCTCTGGTGATTTGCAGCAGAAAGATGAAAGGCTGGAAATCTGTGGTTGACAAGGGGAGAGATAGCCATTCCTTGCTAATAATAAACTGTCCCAACCCATCCAGTGCATGCCAGCCCCAGGCAGGGTGATGGAGACCCACATGGGGGATGGTAGGAAGGGGAGGCTCAGTGAAGATGCACACTTGGCCCTCTTTCTAGCAGAAAACACTGATGAACCACCCCAGTTAGGTGAAGAAGACCCTCTCAGTTACCAATTTGATCGGACATACTAAAAAATAATGCATATAAAATGCCATCACAGTGTCAGGCACCTATAAAACATTAGGGAGAAATGCACTAGCTGCCTGAGGCTTGTGGTGAATTTCTGCATAAAGAAAGCAAGCAGAAATGCCCAATTTCAAACAGCAGAAGAAAGGCTTAATGCTCTCCCCAAAATTCAAGCCACCTGAACCCCGATCTTTGAAATTCCCCCAAGAAGGGACAAGGCTTTAACTGCCGGAAGGTAAAGAAACTTGAAATGCACATGGCTTAGTGAAACAGAGTGCCCCAAGCTCAGGTTCACTTGAAGAGCAAGTCATTCCTGCCAGCAGCCTCCGATGGGGTGGCATGGATGGTGCTGGGGCCCTGAAAGGAGCTCTGGAAGCAGGGCCTGGGAGCTTTAGACCTGGAAGACAAATTCTGCCTCCTTTGCACGTTGCCTCAGGAGACTGTTATCACACAGCGGACCTTGGAAGCACTTCCCTTGAAGTCTTTTTTGGGAGGGGAGGGGGCCAAAGCCCTTGCCAAGGTAGAACAGCAGGCAGAGCCAATTCTCCTCATTGCTTTTCCTCACACCTCCATCCGCACACTATAAATATGCCAAAGGCTGCTTACTTAACCTGCCCACTCACCGGGCCACCAGCTGTGTGGCTCTCTGCTGCCCTATACAGGGCATGCAGGACGTGGCGGCATTTCCAGAGCAGCCTCTTACTCATGGGCAGTTAGCTCATTGCTGCAAAAAATGAAAAATTGCTTCTATTTTTATTACAGCTGATTTTCAGTTTTCATAGTGGATGTGCTACTAAATAATTGCACATAAATTATGTTTTTGTTAAAACAACAACAACAACCTTGGAGTCAGAGAGAGCTCAGTCTGAGTCCTCTGTGCCTCCATTTCCTCATGTGTAAAATGGGAATAATAATAGTACCCACCACACTGAATAATTAGAAAGGTGAAATAAAATAATGCCTATAAAATGCCATCACAGTGTCAGGCACCTACAAAACATCAGGAAGAAATGCACTAGTAATTAGGTTTTTTAAAGAATTCCACGGTCAAGTCTTTTGTACAGCAAATAATCCTCTAACATGAAGAATCATCGTCTAATTTATATCTGGAGTGGGATTTGCATTCTTCATTTTCTCTTAAAGTGGGACAAGCCCAATTTCCGCAGCCATCTGTTTCAGATACGGAGGCAACAGAACATGGTGCCACAGATCTGAATTCCACTCTAGACTCTGCCAATAGCCAGCTAAATGACAACGGGAAGTCACTTAACCTCCCAGAGCCTCGGTTTTCTCCTCTGTAAAATGGGGGAGAACGACTGTGTTTGCCTCACAGTGTTGTTGTGAGGATTCATTGAGATGCTCCATGAAGTACTTAGCACAATGGTGGCATGTGAGAGCTTAACAAATGTTAGCTGCGATTAGAAAAATCAGTATTGATGATGAGAATAATAACTTTCAACGTCAAGTTTGCACGTTTGATTTTAGTACAGGTCAGTTAACATATGGACAAAGAAAAAACATCTTTCCACTGCCAAAGCCTGAGCCCCTAGACCGGGACAGCCATCTTGCTTACATGTACCTTTATGCCCAAGCGGGATCAGGGCAGAAAGGTGGCTCAGGGGAAACCTGTGCCTCATGTTGGGAAAACAGTGTGTTTGGCACAGGCTCTGGATCAACAGCACCATCTTTATGGAGGGACAGGGAATAAAGGAGAGGATGAAGAGGCCATAAAACCGCTCCTGGAACTCACTGCTACTTTGCATGAGAGACCAATAAGAGTGATCCAGCTTGCCCAGCCTCGCCCCCGCCCTCGCCCTGCCTCCATACCTTACTATCCAGCTTCTTCATCGTCATTAGGTCCAGAGACTTCAGGGAATGACCCGTGGGGGCGATGAAGTATAAGCAGACGTGGATGCGAGAGTCGTGGTAGGTGTGCAGGACCCTGCGGATCTTCAGCTCCTCCTGCAGGTAGGCTTCGAATTGGGCATCGAGGAATTCCACGATGGGCTTGTAGCTAAAGGGGAGAGAAGGGAAATGGCCTGGCCACTTCAAAAATGGGGATTTCGATACAATCCCTTGTACAAGTTTAAAATGTCCTCGGTAATTGACTCTCCCCATCGAGCTGGATTTTTCCGTCTCCCCTCAGTGCACCTCCAATCCCATCTGGCTGGTCACCTCCTTGATCCTCACATGAACCAATCTTATGCCCATCTGTGCACCTTCGCTCTGGAATGCCCATTTCTCTCTTCTCACCACAATACTGCCCTCCCAGACCCCAGGGCCCAGTTGAATGCCCATCTCCTTCATACAGCCTCCCCCGATTATGCCAAAACCCCTTCTGTTCTATGCTGAGTAGCCAATGGTGGCCAGGGCCTCTCCCTGACCCTGTTGCTGGGGAATCCTGTCAGAACGCTCTGGGTTCCACTCAGTATTGCAAGGTTCAGTGGCGCTCCCCACTTGGCTCCCCGAAGGTCCAGATATGTTTTCAGTTCTCATTTCCTCCAAGGTTGTGATTTTAAAATCGAAGTAATTGGGAAAATTTTGATAAAGATACTCCCCACCACCACAGCCTTCACAAGTGCACCCCCCGCAAGCTCACTGAGTCTCCTCCATATGCAGCCCCCCTTTGCGGCCCTCAGGTCTTGCCAGGACTTCTTAAACAACAGCTCCCTGTCCTGGGAAGTTTCTCCCTTCTCCCTTGGGCCATTCCTGCTGTCCCTGTGGCCTCTTTCTGTTCTACCTAGGTCAGCTTCTCTTCAGCCCTGACTCTGTTCTCATCTCCCTGTCTTTGCTGTCTCTCCATCTGGGGCTAGAAGAGCTGGGGCAGTGAGTCTGCAGATACCACTGCCAGAAGGGAATCTGATCAAAGGAGGAGTGGGGCCTAGGCAGCACCTCCTACCTGCAGCAGCCCCTAACCTGAGCCTTTTTGAAAAATTCCCCCTTTTAGAAAAGGGAAAACAGCTTTATAAAAAAGAATCACTGCCCTGACCGGTTTGGCTCAGTGGATAGAGCGTCGGCCTGCGGAGTGAAAGGTCCCAGGTTCGACTCCAGTCAAGGGCATGTGCCTTGGTTTCGGGCACATCCCCAGTGGGAGGTGTGCAGGAGGCAGCTATTGATGTTTCTAACTCTCTATTCCTCTCCCTTCCTCTCTGTAAAAAATCAATAAAATATATATTTTTTAAAAAGAATCACAGCTCTAGCTGGTGTGGCTCAGTGGATAGAGCATCAGCCTGCCAACTGATGGGTCCTGGGTTTGATTCTGGTCAAAGGCACATGCCTCAGTTGTGGGTTTGATCCCCAATAGGGGGTGTGCAGGAGGCAACCAATCAGTGATTCTCATCATTGATGTTTCTCTCTCTCTCTCTCCCTCTCCCTCTCTGAAATCAATAAAGATATATTTTTTAAAAAATAATTACAGAATCCTAGATTCTAGGAGCTACATACAGAGGAGAGATGCAGGTGCAGGTTACCTCTAGAGCCCCAGAAAAAAATCTAAAAATATAGTCCTTTCTTCCTTTGATCCCTCTGAGCCAAACATTGTTCTGAAGGGTAATAGCATCAAAGAATCTTTTGCTTGCAGAGAACCTTAGAAGGTTCCTGAAGAATTAGGAGTGAGAGTGCAGGGTGCATCCCTTAGACTCATCTAATTAAATTTTGGATGATCGGCTGGTTTGAATGATCTAATCATGGCATTGCTTCATTTTTTTTGTCCATTACATAACTTTTTTTACTTCAGTATTTTACTCTACAAAAGAGATCAAAGGAGGAAAGAAAAGTGTGCATTTTTAGCTTTCCTCCCCTGAATCTCTGGTGATGCCCTGGGCCTATCTTTCTGCTGCTGCCTCTGGCTCTTAGGGTCTCTGAAGGGGTATCTGAATCAGACCAGCCAAACTAGCCAATCAACCAGGAAGATTTGGTTCAGTCTAATCCTAAATAGGGGATTCATCTTTGTCTCGTCAGTGTTCAGCATGGAATCTGGGATAATGGCTCTGCCCCCATTCCCAACAGCTCATCTTCCCATGGTAGTCATCTCTCCCACCCCACTCTGTTGTGCTCACTGGACTTCAAAACACGGTAAACAAGATCCTGTACTCTCATAGGCAACCTCTTCACAAAACGCTTCCTTCCTGTGATACCTGTCTCCTCTTCAAACAAGTTGTTTCTCTCATATCCTTCTCAACTAGAAACTGCTACTTCTTTTACACCCAAGTTCCATGGGTGTGAGGGGTAGAGGGAGCTTTCTTCTAGCTAGTCATTCCCTGACTTACTACGATTTCTTCCATCTCCTACAAAACCCAGCTCTAACATACTCTACCCCTCTTCATCACTACTGTTTATCTTTTACATTTTAGGGTAGGAGTTCTTAAACTGGCGTCTACAGACCTCTAAGGGGTCTGTGGGTAGAATTCATAGTGTCCATGAATTTGGACAGGACAAAAACACATCTTTTTCACTAAATTTTAACTAAAGTTTAGCATTCTCTTTAGGTACAAACGTTGGTAACACTCTACTGTAATTTTAGCACTACCCAAGATTTCATAACCAATAGAAATCACTGATATTTTTGTTTCCTACTACAGTTCAGCAAATATCTCAAAACAACATTTATACTCATCAAACTTTTAAGTTATGATACTTATTAGACCCACCTATAGATATTGTTATTTCAGGAATTAATAGAAGTACATGAATTGTTAAATCACAATTTAAAAATATTTCAGTATTAACTATATTTTAGTATAATTGGTGTATTTTAGGCATTTAAAAATGTTATTTTGAAAATGAGCCCATAAGTCTCACTAAAGAGTCCTAAGGCATAAAGCAATCCATGCTCTAGACCAGCCGTGGGCAAACTACGGCCCACGGGCCAGATCCGCCCGTTTGAAATGAATAAAACTAAAAAAAAAGAGACCGTACCCTTTTATGTAATGATGTTTACTTTGAATTTATATTAGTTCACACAATCACTCCATCCATGCTTTTGTTCTGGCCCTCTGGTCCAGTTTAAGAACCCATTGTGGCCCTCGAGTCAAAAAGTTTGCCCACCCCTGCTCTAGACAGTTCTTCTTATTCATTTCAGTTAGTGACATGCATTATAAAGACAATAAAATAGGATAATTGGATAAAAGGTGACTCAGGGATCAGCTACTTTAAACATAGTGATTAGGCTTCTCTAAGGATGTGACCTTTGAGCTGCAAAGATGAGAATGAGGGAGCCAAGGAGAATCTGGGAGAGGAGCATTTCAGGAAGAGAAATAACAAATGTAATGGTCCTGAGGCAAGTTTGAACAATAGGAAGAAGGCAAGGGAGCTGGAGGTTAGTTAACAGAAGAAGAAGAATAAACTATTCACAATAGCCAAAAGGTGAAAACAGCCCAAATGTCCATCAGTTAATGGCTGAATAAACAAAATGTGGCATATCCATAAAATGGACTATTAGCCATTTAAAGGAAGAAAGAAGGTTCTGATACACGTTGCCACATGAATGAACTTGAAAACACCATGATAAGTGTAAGAAGCCAGTCACAAAAGGACAAATATTGTATGATTCCACTTATCTGAGTCCTAGAGTACTCAAATTCATAGAAACAAAAAATAGAATAGTAGTTATCAGTGGCTGAAGGGGAGGGAAGTAGGGAGTGTTATTTAATGAATTTCCTTTTGGGTTGATGAGAATATTTTGGAACTAGGTAGAGGTTGGTGGTTGCACAACATTGTGAATGTATTAAATGCCGCTTAATTGTTCACTTTAAAATAGTTAATTTTATATTATGTGAATTTCACCTTAATAGAAACAAGAATAATAAGATATGAAGCAAGTAAAGCAACAGGGAACAGGTCACATAGGGTCTTGTGGGTAAGGTATAGTAAGGTTTTTGTGGGGTTTTTTGCTGTGAATGGGGTCTTTTGTTTCATAATGTTTTCAAATTGGTTATTGTTGGTTGATCAAAAGTCTGTGGCTTGAACTAAAATAGAGAGCAACCATTATTCAGAACAACCTGAAATCTAGCTGAATGAAAGTCCTACAACTAGAGAATTAAAGAAGAAAACACATTGAAACTGGAGACATAGCAGCTCTACCTAACACTTAGAAACAAAGACAGGGAAGCAGCCAAAATGAAGAGACAAAGAAACATGTCACAAATAACAGAACAGAAGAAATCTCTGGAAAAAGAATTAAATGAAATGGAAGGAAGCGCCGAAACCGGTTTGGCGCAGTGGACAGAGCGTCGGCCTGCGGACTGAAAGGTCCCAGGTTTGATTCCGGCCAAGGGCATGTACCTGGGTTGTGGGCACATCCCCAGTAGGAGATGTGCAGGAGGCAGCTGATCGATGTTTCTCTCTCATCGATGTTTCTAACTCTCTCTCTCTCTCCCTTCCGCTCTGTAAAAAATCAATAAAATATATTTTTTAAAAAATGGAAGCAAGCAAACTACTAGATACAGAGTTCAAAACAATGGTTATACGGATGCTCGAGGAACTTAAGGGGAGCTTCAAGGGACTTAGTGAGACTTTCAAGAAAATTAGTGAGAACATCAAAGACATGAAAAGGGACTAGTCAGAAATGAAGAATACACTAACTGAAATGAAGAATAATCTACAGGGAATAAATAGTAGAGTAGTGGACACTGAGAATCAAATCAGCGATTTGGAATTGAGGAAGCAAAAAACACCCAATCAGAAGAGCAAAAAGAAAAAGGAATCCAAAAATATGAAGATAGTGTAAGTAGCCTCTAGGACAACTTCAAGTGTACCAATATTCACCTCATGCTTGAAGGGGAAGAAAAGGAGCAAAAAATTGAAAACCTATTTGAAGAAATAATGACAGAAAACTTCTCCTACTTGGTTAAAGAAATAGACATACAAGTCCAGGAAGCACAGAGAGTCCCAAACAGGAGGAACCCAAAGAGGACCACACCAAGACACATCATAATTAAAATGCCAAAGGTTAAAGACAAAGAGAGAATCTTAAAAGCAGCAAGAGAAAAGCAGTTAGTTACCTACAAGGGAGTG